AATACTTTTAAAGAGCATACCCTATGTTTAAACTGTAATAACGTCTAAACTTACAAATTAAGACTAATTTTAATTTTTTGGAAAGAATCAGTTTGTTTTTTAGAGAAATAGGTGAAAATCTCTCAGATAATGAATTGCACGTAATGATTGATATATTCGACAGAGATGGCGATAGAAATAGTAATGGTTTTTTCAAGTAATTTAATACATACACCCCTTATTTGTACTAAAATTATTTCTCTTTGTTTAGTGTGTCTAGAAGAATTCTTGTCAATTCTTGAATAACAAATCCAAAGGACGTTATTTGAAAAGCGTTCAGAACCTTCAAAAATACTAAATACAACTTGTTTAAGCTACAAACTTGTTTGAGACAATGACTAATTAATCTTAGTTCCTAAAACACAATTGAAGTATGGATGGATATAGGTCTTAATAAAGGAATGGTGTGATGAAGTCAGAAATAGAAAACAGCACGATACGAGATAGATGAAATTTGTTTCGGTGAAACTGGAAAACTGTGAGAATTTAAAAGTTTGTGTTTTTGATGTGTTAAATGTTGACCTCGTAGGGGTAAATTTGGAGAATGTGTTCCTTTTTCCCCGTCTCTGCAACGAAAACTAAAAAGCATTGGTTACAATTCTCTTCACTTCATTAGATAATGGCTTGGGCCTAATGATAAATATCATAAACATAGGTAATAGCTTTTATTCATTTTTTAACCAGAACAAATATGAGCTTTCAATAGGTTAAGAGTTTAACCTGTAATAGCTCCGTTTCAGATACCGAAATATGCTGGTCATTTTACGAAACTTGCTTTCCCGATGACCAGTAGATATTGACAGGCTTGAAAAAAATGTTAAAATTCCCAGCCAGCTAGCCAGTTCTCCAGTCTGTGAGATTTCCTAGCCCAAAATACCAGACAGTCCAATTACTTATCAAACAGAAGCAGCTGCTTTTCCGTATGAAGCAATTTCCTTCCGAGCCTGGTATACTCTACTTTCTGTCACGACTCTCTCAGTAAATTACTACCGCCAAAGGAAACTTGACAGAGGTAGAAAAGCAGAAGCAGAAAGGACTTTTCTTCTCTATGAGGAGGTGCTGAATCATAGGGGGGCTGCTAGTTTTCACATCTCTTTCTCACCCCTTCTTTGTGCTTTGTACTGCTGCTTTTCAACACTCGCCATGCATGCAAGGAGTGAAGCTTCCACACCCCTAATATGCCACTTAGTTTTCTTGCTTATCTTTGTTTCATGTTTGAAGAGATATTCCAAAGTTAATATGAAATGGCAGTGTACGCGCTTTTCCCATGCATTTCGGATAGAGCCCACCACCCAAGTTAATAATCTTATGCGGTTTCAGAGCTTAAATTGTTACACCATTTGGACTAGTGGAATTTTGTTCAGTCGTCTGGAAAATCTACATTGAATCGACTTTTGTATACTCAATTACTGTAAAATGACAAACAGGAAATAGGGAGTAGAGCTGTATGAAAGACAATGCTAAATTTATAGGACAGTCTCCATAATGACTGATTAATAAATGGGTTTCTATGTAACAGTTATGGCAGAAATTAAGGAGAAGCTTTGTTTGCCTCTATCAATTAGTTTCAAAAGGCTTGATGAGATTCTTTCGATTCTAATTTTCGTCTGAAACTAAATGATTTGGGAAACTGTGACTGTGGAACAAAGAGAGAATATAAATCTACGTTCTTTATTTTAACTTGCGCCAATTCGGTAATCGTAAGATACTGGGCTAAACTTCTTTATTCTCGAATCTTATTGTTTTTATCGATCAAATGTACTTAATAGTGGAAAGAATGATGCGTGACCGGTGTTACTTTATTCTATTACTTACATTAAGTTAAACGGGGTGTGCGATAGACTTACCTCCACGTGGTG